GCCAGGAGGTTGGAGGGAGGTGGGGGTTGGTCTCTTCTCCCAAATAATTAATGATAAAACAGAAGGGAATGGGCTGAAGTTTCTCCAGGAGAGGTTTAGGTTGGAGATGAGGAATTTCTCTCCTGACAGAGGGGTGAGATGTTGGCCCAGGCTGCCCAGGGAGGTGCTGGAGTTGAGTCCCCAGCCCTGGAGGGCTTCAAAAAACCACAACCTGTCCCTTGGGGACGTGATTTAGTGACCGTGGGGGTGTTGGTCTTGATGATCTCAGACCTCTTTCCAACCTCCATGACTCTGAGATGCCATAGTTGGAATGTTTTTGCTTCTCCCCTCTTCCCAGGGCTGTGAAGAGCTTGTTCCAGTGGGATCTGGAGGGATCTTTGGAGGCCCTCAGCCAACTCCAGCCTCCCTCTGCTGCTTTGCCAAACCCTGTCTCCTTTCCCTTCCAGGAACCTTGTCCCAAAAAAGCCACCTTGGCCAAAGTGGTGCCAACCCCAAACAATGGATCTGTCGAGCTGGTGCCACTCCACAGGGACCAGGTAGGAGCAGAACTGGTGCTGTCTCATTAACTATTAACTAAATGATTCATTTTAATTAAGAAACAAGCACAAAATCACCTCTAGTCAGCTGCAAGGGGGGGCATTGAAGATTTTAGGGTGTTTCCTGCCACGTGGCCCACAGATAGAATCATAAAAGAAGCAGAGAGGGGAAACCTTGGTGGTTTTTTCCCTTCTTGAGGCCAGATCCTGTGTGGGGTGAAGCTTTTGGGGTACATCCCATTGATTTTTGGGTCGTTTTTCCCCCTTTTCTGCAGGGTGAGGACGGGCAGGAGGCTCTTTCCTTTGAATTTCAGAAGATTAAATACTCCTATGAAGTAGATGGCAAGAAGGAATTCCTGCCTGTTGCTTTCCCTGTGGAACATCCCCTTGGCTACTACCAGACAGCCCGGGGCTACCAGGAGGACAAAGATATCCGAGCAGCTGAGAAGAAATATGGTACAAACAAGTGAGTTTTGCAGCTTTTTGGGTCTTTGTAGCAGGAATAACAGACCCACCAGGCCTGATTTGGGAATTTTAATCCCAAATTTGAATCCCTTGAAGGACAGAGAAACAATTCCCCACCCCAAGGGGGTTTCTCCAAGCTGGGTGGAGGTGGAAATAAATCCCCTCTACCCATTTAACTCCAAATAATCCCAAATCAGGAGGTGGGGGGTGGATACCAGAGTCCAGGAGGTTGAGGGGGGTTTAGGGGCTGGGCTTTTTGCTGAGAATCTGGAATTTTTTGGGTTACTAAGGGCTCAGTTCTTCCCCCAGGGCTGAGATGGTGGTGCCAGAGTTCCTGGAGCTTTTCAAGGAGCGAGCCACGGCCCCGTTCTTCGTCTTCCAGGTGAGAGGAACCAACAAGAAGATGCTGCTGGTGCCTCTCCCTGCTTAAAAAATACCTGAGGATTTAGTACAGCAGCTGGAGAGCTGTAAATCCACCTGGGAAAAACCAGCAGGAGGTGTTGGCCTCACCCTCTCCTGTTGATTTTACTGCTGGGAGGGACTTTGTCTCTCCCTAATCCCCTCCTGGGGTTTTCCTCCTTTTTCTGGCTCCCTGTAAATTAACTAAATCAGCTTAAAACACAAAAATTCTTCCAGCCTGAAGGCGTTTGGGTGCTGAGGGGATGCTGCAGGTGCTGTTCTCCCTGCAGGTGTTCTGCGTGGGGCTCTGGTGCCTGGATGAGTATTGGTACTACAGTGTTTTCACCCTCTCCATGCTGGTGGCTTTTGAGGCCTCTCTGGTCCAGCAGCAGATGAGGAACATGTCAGAGATCCGAAAAATGGGCAACAAGCCCTACATGATCCAGGTAACCAACCCCCAGGGAGGGGGGAGTGGGAAACTGGGGGTGTAGTTGGCTTTGAATTCCTTTTTCAGCTCTTTTTTTGGGGGATATTTTCCTGCAGGGCTTCTGAAAGTGATTTTTGGGGTTTTTTTTCCCCCCTCCAGGTGTACAGGAACAGGAAGTGGCGTCCCATATCCAGTGATGAGATCATCCCAGGGGACATTGTTTCCATTGGTGAGGTCTTGGGTTAAAAAAATCCTTTCAAATCCACTTCAGGTCGTGCAGGGAAGGGATTTAGGTGTGAAAATCTCAAGGTTTGGGGTGGGGGCTTTGGAGGAGTTGGATTTGTGGGTGTCACAGGGTCCAGGAGGTTGATCCTTGGGGCTGGATCTCCTGGATTAGGTGGATGCTGAGATGGATCAGCCTCAGATTCTTCAGTTTAGGGTGGTGAGGATGAAGAGTTTCCTTCCTCCTGACCCTCTCCTCAAGGAATGGATGGAGGAAGGGCAGGAAGCTTCTCTCTGAACCCTCCTCTCCCTTTTAAGCATCTATCACTCCACTTTTTAACCCCTAAATGACAATAAAGTGACTTGATTTTAAACTTCCCTCCCCTCAACAGACACCTAAAATCCTTCCAGCCATTGACGTCTCACCTCAAACCTCACAGGAGCTTTAGGACCCTCCTAAACTCAAGGAGAGCTGCACCCTGAGCCTGGTGTCAGTGTTAATGAGTTTAATTACTCCCTCCCAGGGCGATCTCCTCAGGAGAACCTGGTGCCCTGTGACGTGCTGCTGCTGAGGGGAAGGTGCATCGTGGACGAGGCCATGCTCACAGGAGAGTCTGTGCCACAGATGAAGGTCTGGGGGGCACCCACTGCCCCTGACACCAGGGCTGGAGAAGCTGGGGGGGCTGGTGGCACAGATTTGGGGGGTGCTGCAGGGGCTGGGGGGCCGAGCCCTGAGAGCTGGGGTTGGATGGAGTGGGCTCCAGGGGGTGGCTGGGCACAA